GCATTGGCAACAACGCACGTAGCCAAGAGCGCTCGAGTGCCGCATCGCATAAGATACAGTGCTAATCTATGACGCACTTCTAGAAGAAATGGAAATAATGCCTCATCATCAATTTGGGTTCAGACAACGACTTTCGACTATAGAACAAATTCATCAAATGGTAAACGAAACTACTGAATCGCTAGAAAGTAAAGAATATTAGTCTGCTGTATTTCTGGACGTATGCTAGGCTTTCGACGAAATCTGGCACCCAGGTCTATTGCATATATTTAAGAAAAGTCTACCGTATCCTTACTATCACTTATTAAAATCGTGCCTCATAGAGAGGTCTTTTCAAGTAAAATTAAATGGAGGAACTTCAGAACTTATCCCTATAAATTGAAGAGTACCTCAAGGAAGTGTGCTGGGACGTTTTGTCTATTCACTAAGTTTCGATGTTTTGCGGCATCTTCGTACAACTTTAAAATTGAAGATAGAGATTTTTCCTTCAAATGAAATTTGTTGTTGTTTCATTGAGTTGTTTCATTAAGGTCATGCGAATTGTTTTACAAATTTTAGTAGTTTTCGCGCAATATTGCGAACAATATGAGCAATTTAAAAAAAATAAAAAAGAAGATTTTCACAAAAAATTCTCCAAATGTTTTCTTTAAACTTTTGGTAGGGATAGTACTACATGCACTCTGTACGATTACTTAAACGCAATAATGCTCTATTCTTTTGTTTTTTTAACAATTTACAAAAATGTAGTTCTTTTTTGACTTTTCTCTCGCGTCAATATTAATATTAGCGGAAATTTCAAATTATATTTACGAGTACATGTGCTTTAAATAATGTGATATAAAGTTTCGCGAAAACTCAACGCTTTTCTGTGAAAATGAACCCAAAATTCCGCATTTTCAGAAACGATCAAACGCACTTTTTTAAAAAACGGCTCCAAATTTTTCTTCAAGCTTTTCGAAAGGATAGTACTAATTTCACTCTTTAATATGACGTAATGCTAATTTCGGTAAATTTTTTGTTTTTTCCAAAATTAGACAAATGTAATTTTTTTGAAGCTCTCACGCCGTTAATATGAACATTGCCAGCAATTTGTAAACACTACTCTACTTGTGAGTTAATGTGCTTCAAATGACGTCTAATGACATTTTTCCAAACCTAAAATTTTTTTTCTGAAAAAGAGCTTCAAATTTCGATTTTACAGTGGCGCTTGAGCACATTTTTCTTCAAACGGCTCCAAATTTGTCAAAGAAAATTGCCATTTAGGACGAGGTTTTCCTCTTATTTGATATTCTTAAAATAATATATCGGTTTTTCTAATAGGAAACCTAAATATTAAGAAAATTTCAAAACATGTACTTTGGGCGGCGATAGGTGACAGCTGGCAAGAGTATGTGGCAAGTTCGTATAACTAGCCGGCACCAAAGGAAATAGAATACTAGTGGACTTTTTTTTAGGAATAAAATGTAGATATATCACTGTCTCAACATTTTTTCTGGCCTCTATTAGAAATTCCTCCATTTTTCCTTACTTTTCCGGAGTAAAAAAAAAAATTAATAGTTTTTTCAAGTTTTACAGGATGTGGCCACATTTTACAGAATGTGGTTAAGGTACACAATGCAGCCAACGTACCATCATCACTGCTTATTTGAATAAACGTATTTACTTCTTGGGAAAACATTGATCGCCAAACAGTTGACATTGTCTCAGGCTCCCATACTTAATCTTCGTCGAAAGCTGGGTACCCAGCACAATTCCTACTAAATGTTTAAAGAAAGAAATTGAAGCCGTTTTGAGAAAATCTTTTTCTTTGACTCAAATTTTCGAAAAATTGTACATGACCTTATTTGAAAATCTATCTTTGAGAAAATGTTTTATTCAGGAAAAATTTTGCACTTTTCCAATTTTCGAAAATTAAGACATTTCAAAGAAAATTAAACATGCATCAATTCTTTAAGCGTCCTGTACAGTATGTGAAGGAGAAGTTCAATACAAAAATTTAAGCCATTTTGAAAAAAACTATTAATATGTTTGAGGCTTCATATAAAGTAGCCCGAAAATCAAAATCCTCATTTTAAACCCTCAGGGCCTTGAGTTCGTCGAGATTGATTATATAATATCAATTTTGGAGAAAATCAGTTTACAGCGAACGGTTCAGGCGTTAGCTTTGACAATACATTGGACAGACAGACTGCAATTTATCGGCGCCTATTAGATCTTGTGGCTTCTTTCAGAGTAAGTACTGCTTTGCTGTGGAAAATTCATAGTGAAGAGCTCTCTCGTCATCATCGCAACATTACGCTGGGGTAGTTCTTAGCCTTAGGTAGCATTAGCATTTCTAACTTGTAGTGTTTGTAGCATTATTCGAAGTGTAGAGCACCCGCTCTTCAGATACGTGCACAATTATACCGGTCAAGGAAGGGATTATGCAAGGATTACATTATTAATGTGATACAGGAGGGGTTTTAGAATAACGCAATTCCAAAGCGCAACTCCTAGCGTATGTGTATCTTGAGCGGGATTCGATTCCACAGGCTTAGTGTCCGCCAACTTGTGCTCACCTGCCCTGAGTCGCAGTGTAGTATACTACTGTTTGAAACATGCATGCCCCTTTTTTGTTGAATGCATGCCGAATAATCGGCAATGTTTTGCTGCAGCATTAAGTAACATTCTCTGTGCCTGTTAGTATGTGAGAAAGGAAAAGGTAAGGGAATAGAGAAATGCTTTTATTTAAACATTTATGTGTATTTTGTAATTTACTTAGAAACATAGAAACAATTACAATTATGATATTTGGAGATAATGGCTATGTAGTACTCATAATTATATAGAGTCATTACTTTATTGGCGCATCTGATGAAATGCTCTGGAATCCTAAAAATAAATAAAATCTATTCTATTATTGAATTCGAACTACAACAGTAACATGTGGCCAATCTACTCATAATTTCGCGATTTTCGTTTTGTGCAGGTATCCGAATAATCAAGTATCTCTCTACGATGAACCACACTTTCCGGCGAGCCGCATTTATTGTGTAAATCTTCATAGCGTAATTTTAGTGGAGTTTTGTAATGATAGTTTTTGCAATGTATCACATCAGATTATTGCAGCATATTATGTAGTGGCGCACATAGAATTTGCTTGGGATGGGGGGGATTTAGGTGTAGTGCGCTGTCAACTTAGAATTTCTTGTAAATAATATTTTAAATATGATGAATTTAAACAAAGATGATATTATTGACTTTCTTCACTATTGAAAATTAATAATACTCTTTGTAAATATGTGTCATCGACTTTGGTCGATCCGGTGGTTTTTCTTTGCAGAAAATATTAATAATTAAACTGTTCGAAAATGTTCAAATATCTGCAACGCTTTAGTTCTTTCAACTATCAAGGCAGGTTGGTTAATCTCATGTACTCTTAAAAAAATGCTGTGATCACTTGTACTCCGCAATATCAAGTTTTAATCTTTCATGCAACCTCACTCCAGCTCCTTCCCGCAGGTAGAGTAATAGGCATAAGATATGCATGAGGTAGCAAGCACCTCACATTGACAATTTCTTTTATAATTGCAAAAATACCCTACTATACTGTTTGGCAGAAGAAACGCGAAAGATTCTAATTTGCTATTTTCGAATAGTAGCAATTTTCGAAAGTTTACAGGTTTTAATGAAAATTTGACGTACAGCATGTGTACAAGCGCACTTCCATGTACTCGAGATAAAAGAATAGCAATCTGAGGCAATAGTGAGAAATCGACCTCTAGCCTTCAGATTCGTTGGCTGACACTTAAACCGTTACGTTACAACTGCCTCCTGGAACAAGCGTGCAATAATTTACAAGATTATTATGTATTTTGCTGTGCGGGAGACACCGTTTCTTAAGCAATGTCGCCAGACTGTGCTTAGAACGCGTCGCGGCGGCGCCTCCCGGACAGCCAAGAATCTATTGACTCCGACCGCGGAAGCGTACCCTCGCATGCTACAGTATTGTTCAACCTAAGGAAATTCTCACGATTGAAACGAAATTAATTAAAGTTCTCAGATTGTGGTATAGATTGCATGAAAAATAAATCTATCTCCTCCCCTCAAACAACAACAACAACAACAACAACAACAAAACTTACAATTTTCGCATTTCCGGACGTTTGAATGAAATTCGGATATATGCTATAAGAGAACTTTTCTATGTTCATGTTATGTTCTAAATCTCCTTTTCTGTCTCGTTGATATGTTCAGTGATATTTTGATCTGATATTTTCAGCGTCTGATATTTTCAGTGGAGAAATTAAAGTCAAGTATCACAAACGCAATTTCCTTTGTACTCGTATGCGGTTCCGAAATAGTTTTGTATATACACAGTATCTTCAATGCTCGATGCACAGTTAATCAGAGATGCTGCTGCTGTTTTTAAAGTGATTCTGAATAATAGCAACTAGTAGTAAGAGGTAGTGGAAGCATTTTACGAGAAATGGATGTTGGTTTATAAGATGTTTTTATTTACCCGTATTAGAATACTAGTTAGGTCTAGGATATACAAGTTAACCTGAAGACAAATCCTATGCTAAGAGTGTCCTTGCCAATAGATGGAATCTGGACCTGCTTCCGACTGCCAAGAAGCAGGTCTGTTGTTTTGATGGATGATGCGCAGGCTGCTCGTCGCGTCGGCCGCGCAGGGCGCTTCGAGAAGTGCGCTTTTCCTTCCAGTCGTCGGCGGTGACACTGGGTTCGAACACATGTACTCTTTCTATCCTTTTTGCCCTACAATAAACCACCTCAATAAACACTGCGTTGCACTAGTTGCCATTCCTGAGGAGGCCAGTCCCGCCTGCGAGCGAGAGTTGCCCGAGAGGAGAGGCGTCACCACGTTGTTTTAAGAAAAGTCTTAATTAAACAGACGAAGGTTTAAACTAGGATCAGAATTAATATGAATGAATACAGGTTGGGTCAGAGCAAATGGTACATATCTCTAGGGCAAGTTAAGGGGTCGAAGATAATCACTTATTGCTAGGGGGCGGATTTTCATGACCTAAAACATTGCCAAAAATGATCAATAAAATGCACTAAAAGCAAAGAAAAATGACTAAAAATGTGATCAAACTAATTTCGGAAGAACAACTCAAGCTGTTGTATATGTTACTGACATGATCGAGGGTTCTTCCATTCATTCAAGTGAACTCCACTTGCAAACTTTTGGTATGGACTATTCTTTACCAGGAAATCTGTCTTCAGTTACCGCTAAAACAGCCGAACCGACAGTGGCACTAATGGGCGTCATAGGAACCTTAGATTACATACTGAGCCAGAAATGACAATTTTTAGCGAAGACATCGGACAGGCTCCTCAGGAATTCTCTGGAGAACATTTGTTGCATCTCGTAAATATTATTTGAAGCAAGCACCATTAAAATTAATCAAAACAGCGAAAAAATATTAAAAATGGCGGAAAAGGAAAAATAGCTTACTGGAAGTGAACGAAAAATGAAAAAAGGGTCATTTCCTTTTGGCATTGGAAGATTAATTTAAATAGTAAATTTAATTTCTATACTAAACTGCATTGTTCTAAAGTGAAAAGAAAAAAGTGACATTTAATCAAAATCCACCCCCTACCAATTAACATTCGAAATTAAATATGTGACCCCCCCCCCTTTTAGGCAAATCGTTATGAACAGATGTTCGGCAGGTCACGTTTTGTCGCCATCAACGAGGTTTGATGTACTGCGGAACAGCTGTGCTTTCAAAGCGAACTTCAAGGGAAAATGTTACATTAACTTCGTCATATGTGATTTCACACTGTATATTTATTGGCAATAGATCTTTGACGCATGTCTAGGCCCTAGAGGTGTGTAGCATTTATTCTGAGACACGCTGTATAAGAGGAAGGAAACCTATTATTGCAAATAGCGAAGTGTTTAAGTGGGCGAGGGCGTGGTGGTGGTGGTGGTGGCGTTGGCGCGGACGGTGGCGTCGAGGGCGGGGTCGAGGCGCGCCACCCAGTGCGGCCAGGCGCTGAGCTGCGCGTAGAAGGCGTCGCCGGGGCACTGCGTGTTGCGCACCTGGCGGTGGCCCAGCAGGCTGTAGTCGGCGGCCAGGGCGCCGCGCCGCGCGCCGCACGCCAGCAGCCGCTGCGCCAGCGCCGTCATGTGCGCGGGCGGCGCCGCCTCTGCGCAAACCGCCACGCACAATCGAATCATAGAAGCGACTTTAACAACGTTCGAAAAATACACATTTCCGCTCCCGAGTCATATTGTTTTGGCACCAGTAACCGGACTACATTTGAATTTGTAGCTCAACAGAACGTGCCTATTGTGAAGCTACATTTTTGCACAAATGAAAAACAAGTGCCCATTTCAGCAATTTCGATCTTTTTTACAACTGGTTTAGTAACTTGTATTCGCGCCGGTCAAAATTTAATCTGACGGTGGTCGTTTATGTTAATTCCTTAATTAAGATTTCATTGCCAAAGATGAAAAATAATGTGAACAATTACTGTAACTGACTCTGAAATCTGACAGCCAGGGGTCATTTCAAAGGGTCAACCCTCAGTTCGCCGAACAGAGGGAGCCCATGTGTTCACTGTGCAAGCGCTGACCGCCATTCCATGTGCAAACTACTAGGAAACACGTAGGGTATACTAGGGCATCGGAATCATCTCGAGCAAGAGAAACTTTGCCCGACGAAGATAGTACACATAGCGTTCGTTTGGTTGGAACTCAGAATAATTGCTGGTGCCTCTATCACTTTATTTTATTTGTGCAAATGTTTGCAAAATTGTGATTATGGCACTTTTGCAGCTACTAGCAAAACATCGAAAGCGCAAAAACATCGGGCACAAAACAGCCGTGTTAATGGGCTTTCCTAAACGCATGTCTCAACCGGCGAGTGCGAGTGCTCACCCACGTAGTCGCCGATGAGCGAGACGCCGACGCTGCGCAGGTTGTAGTGCAGCGCATGCGCGCCCACCACGCCCCAGCCGCGCCCCTCGTACACGCGCCCGTCGCCGCCCACCACGAAGCTGCCACACACACACATCGCTCTGAAATCACATACTGCAAGCGAGCGCACCCAGCGCCCTCCGGACACGGGGCAGGGAAGGGAAAGGATACATCGCCCACGATCCTTGGCCCGTTTGTTCAGGGACTGCTACGGCATTCGCCTGGTATCAGTTGGAGAAACCACGGAGAACTAACGATTAGAGCAGCCGGGCGCTGGAATTCTCCTCCAGACAACGGCTGTATTCGCCGTAGCTATCTAGAGATTGTTGAAAATACCTCCACAGTAGCTTCGCCATTGGGCCTCCCAGTATTAGTCACTGCAGAGACAGTAGCAATGCTGGCTCTGAGGTAACTCATCAGGTAAGATAATCGACAGAGAAGCTGGCGGAATGCATCATGTCATCAGGTATTGGTGGTTCGATCATGTACGTAAAAACGCCGTCCTTAAACAATATTCCCGGGACATGGAAACGAAGGTGAACGGGTGAGTGCGCGATGACTCTTTGAATGAAGAGACTGAAGGTCTGTCATAGAAGCCCAACATGAGCGCCTAACAATTTACGGGTTTCAAGCCAAAGTAAATACAAGTCAGGACGTAAAGTGCAGACTACTAACAATTCGATACGGTTATCACCTAATCAGTGCCCGCAGCAATACAAAACAGATTACAAACTCGATGACGGACTTACTACGTTGGAATTTACGCAGAAAATGCCTTGCCAATAACCAACGGTGGAAATAACCCGCACAAAGTGGTCGAAAACCACAACACGAAAATTCTCTGAGATTTCAAGGTCCAAACTTTCTATTAGTTGCAATTGACCGTCCTCTTTGACAAGAGAACACGAATAACGGACATGTCTATCCCCGCAAATGCTTCACGGAATCAAGAGATCGAAGAAAAAATGGAACCTCGTGGTATTGAGGGAAAGCTGGGAAGAATTTGGAAATTCGGATTCGGGTTTGACGCATTATCGTTGGCGTTCCAGGGGCCATAGTCCGGCGAAAGACACGAACACCCGAGGACTTGACGCGAAACAAGCATGCAGAAACCTGTAGAGCTGTCGCTTGAATTGAGTGAGAGAGGCCCTACTTGTATCCGATGTCGTTCCACCCGCGCTCTTCCTGGTGGAAGCGCTGCATGGCGCGCATGGCGGCCTCGCACGCCGCCGACGAGTTGCAGGCACCGGGCACGTAGGTGTGGTGCACGACGGCCAGCAGCGCCGGCCCCTCCTGGCGCTCCACCTGGCGAGGCGGCGCGGCGCCCCACGCGGCGCGCCCCACCAGCGCCGGGCACCCGCCCTCGCCCGCGCCCGCGGCCCCTGCGCACGCCAAACACACGCCCTCATCGCCACTGCCACTAACACCACCACCCACATCAACATCACTTACAACTACTACCTTTAATACCACCGCTACCACCTCCACCATCACATCACAACTAATACCATCAGCACTACTACTACTACCATCTTTCACTAGTGACACCACTAACAAAACCATCACCCCATCACCATCACTACAACTCCCACCTTTACTAACATACCTCCACTACTACCACCGCTACCACCTCCACCCCTTCCACTACCCCACCACCACTAACAACATCACCACTCCCCCACCACCACTACCCCATCACCACTATCCCACCAACACTACTACCCTACCAACACCAATTCAAATTACTATCTATGTAAATAATTTCATTGTATTGCGTCTCTTCTTAATTATTAGTTACACTTTGACGCGACTACATAAAATAAAATATAATAAAAGGTTACTGCCTCAACAAGATTATCTTACTGACGACGATGTATAAACTGAACAAAATTAAGTCAAAATATTCGTATATTAACATATTTCCAAATCTCATTTTATTAATAAACAAAGGCAATTTAATCTTCTCTCCGAATCCAATTACAAAATATATTATTATAAATAATTAAATTTCGATAAAAAATATTCACTTGTATTTCACGTCTAACCGCGGCACCTGCCACGAATTTAACCCAATTACGTTTCTATAGGAAAATTACTGTTCCAAGAATACCTGATTGTTATACTAAGTACTTCCAAATAACCATGTATATATGTAATATACGAATTTATATATATATATATATATATATATATATATATATATTCGTATCAGAAATAACAAAGTCAGAATAAAACAATTTTCCACAACATAACATTGGACCAATTATTTAAACTCTACAATTTACAATAATTAAATGACAACCCTTTCGATTCGTAGGAAAATCGTACTAGGTGAGCTACGGAAATTGTGTTTTTTTAATTTTATGCTTGTCGATAATTTTAAATAATAGCATCAACTTTCTTACTAAGTAACGGTATGCGTGTGTAAAGAGTAGCCAGGTAGAATTATTATCAAACTTAACGTATCGCAAACGTAACGGTTATCAAACACAACTTAGTATAGAATAGAGAACATTGCTAGTGGGTGAGCACTTGATACGGTACTATTTTGAACGTACTCACCCGCATCCGCTGACTGCGATTCGATGCTGTTGAGAAGAATACGTTCAGTTGTTGGTTCCGCCTCTGCTCGTTGTGTAGTCGTCGGGACTGAAACATGATAACAATTAACTTCGCGATTGGAATAAATACATCGTGCAAATAGTATATGCGTCTGTAAATTCACACACCCGGAAACAATTGTGTAATTAATAAAACAAAACAAAGAATGAAACAATAATTTAATGAGGATGTGGAAAAAATAACTATGGTATGAACTAATTTATTAAATTTACGTTTCAATTTCTGCGAACATTGCCGCCGTGTTAATTTTTATACACAAGAGATAGAGATTTATATGCAAGAGGTAGTAAACAGTTTTATAATTATGCTGCGCTTTTACATAAACCAGGAAGATATGTAAACTTGTTCGATATTTTATGAACGTTTTTAATTCTCATGCAGTCGATCTGCAATTTTACCTCGCCAAAGGTGAAGTAGGAGAGTTCATTATTTGTATTTTGTTGATGTTGGTAATAGTAAGAAAACCTTAAGTTTTCCATCAAGAAATCTTTAAAAATCTCAAAAATTGTTCTACGTAAACCCATATGAAGTATATTAATCCAAAATTTGATTCTGCGTCAATTTGAAAGGAAAACGAGCCAGGCATATCAACAGTACGTATATCACACAATAGATATTTCAATACAAAACCCATTGTTTCCTGTGTGGGAGGGAGAATACGATTGAATTACAAAAAAGGCTGTCCTGTGCGTAAGGTTATGAAGTTATCCTTGAAACCATAAATAGTGTTGTTCACATACACCAGACAAACGGACGGACTAACAGACAGACCGACGGTCGTACGTTAAAAACACACACACAAACACTTTTTGGGTACCAGGGAACCCAAAACGTGTATTTCCGTTGAAATATCGAAATCGATTTTCCGCAGCATTAGATAACTTTCCCTATATCACGTATATTACTCTGTATATACGTACGTATACGGGAAAGTAAAAGGATTCCCTTTTATGTGGTGTGAATATTATATTTTTGTGAAATTTCTAAACACTCGAATTTTGAGAAAAAGAATAAAAAATATCAAAATATGCATTTAAAAAAATTTAACGAATTTAAAATGTACATCAAATGAAAGAGTATCTTTTGTTTTTTAATGTCACAAAATAGTAAATCTCTCATAATTACAACGTGAGTTGCAAATGATTATCTTAAGCGATGCGAACATTTTTGGAAAATTCTGAAAATTAATATCATCTCAAAAAAATATTATTTAGGTAAAAAATGAAAAAAACACGTGTTTTTGCTTATACTCTTTACAATAAAAGTTTAAAAATCTGGAACATCAAAGTTAAATTTTCCTTAAATTTATGTGATTTGATGTGGAATGACTCATGTGTAATTTGATTAAAAGAACTTACATAAGAAGCTAAAAAAACACGTTTTATTTGACATTTGCATTTGTCATTTGTTTATTTGTCGAGGTAATTTGATTTAAATCCGGCGAAAAACGGTTTTCAATTTGAAAGAATTGTATCCCCGGGTCAGTTTTGCCTATCTTAATCCGCTACCCCGTTTCATATAGGTAATCGTGTAAGAAAGTTGAAATATTTCCAAAATTATTGCACAGTCAACAGTGTTTCCGTAATTGCCCAGGAAAGTTTTCATTAGCTGATGTAACAGAAATCCTAATTCGCATGTAAACATTAGGCTTAAAAAATATCCTCAAAGCTGTATTTTAATTATATTTTACAAAACGGCTTGTAGATGTAAAGGCTCTGAGCGTCAGACACAATACTGCTTGGTTTGTACGTGAGTGTATTAAGAGTGGATTAGCAGAGATGTAGGGACATTTTTCAGCAGCCTTTTTTTTATCCTGATGTGCGGATGACGCGGCCGTTTGTCGGATGGCAAAATCCGCCTCGAAGTGCGCGCTCACGGCCAAGAGCCCTGCGCGGCCGCGCGGTGGCGAGTGACTCGCACGCGCAGTTGACCTTTTCGGCTCCTCTCTCCTTGCGCACTGTAATTCTGAATATTATCACTCTCAACAAGAATGTTGCGGAGGAGCAATGTCACGGTTTGAAAGATGTGTACTTTACGTGGAGTGTTTGCTGCTTTAAGAACTCAGCTCGAGTGTTAGTCCAGTCAGTAGGTGCTGAAAAAGGAGGGTCAGTTGAAAAACGTAGGGATAGGAAAAACCTGGATAGGAGCCAATTGTAAATGCATGTATTTTGAATCAAACCTTTGTTCCGACCTGTCATAATATTCACCTGTTTTTCCGTCTTGACCCACTTTTTAAATATTACCAATTATTACAATATGAAATTTTTGTTTGTCAACACGTAAAGCGATATTAAAATTTTGTATTATTTCATAAATGACATTATGGAATAGCACGTTGATTGAGCCCAATTCGCAGTTTCCTTTCTCTGGGAACTTGTCATCTGGTCCGCGGCGCAGGCGGCATGCGCCAAACAGGAAAGGTTGCTCGCCGGCACTCTCTTTTTCCTCTCTCCCCCCCTCCCCCCCTCACCACTCGGAGCCTTAACGGGAGCCGCCGCGAGCGCCCGCGCTCATTCACGGCCAGTTGAGCAGGTCTGGTTAGGCGCTACTGCAGTTGGCAGACGGACGAAATCGAAAAGACGTTATGCAAGGAAAAAAACGCAATAGATTTTTTACGTTTACTGTTCACAATGGATTCTGTCTCCTCTACGTTTTTGAGAAAGACATTTTCTACATAATACTTATTGGAGCAAGAAAAATCATATTTTTCGGTATCAGAGAAACACAGAACGTGTTGTCCTGTCGAAAAAATAGGTATTTTCTGCAGTAATACGATACTTTATACTATGTTTATGATAAGGTAAAATTTCCAGTGTATTTCGCTAAATCTCAATACACGACAGAGCACGACATATTAATAAAACTCTTAATTAAAATTCTGAAAATGTCAGAAAGTACTCATTGGAATTAGAGGTAAATGCTTTGGTTCGTTTAAACCAAAATTGCTACTATTATTTTTGTACCAAAGTCAATGTAGAAGAAAACTTAAGAAGCTCCGAAATAAATTATCATTTAAAAACTTATATCCTTTCCTATACGCTGAATCATGTAATTTGTATGAGCCTAAGTGAAGTTAATTTTGACCTGCGTGAGAATAAAAAGTAGTTTGTATTTGATTATTCCATTAAGTGTTGGGCCCGGGATTCAGTTAGTTGCTTCACTCATCTGAACGGGCTGTGTGGAGGGAAAAACTTTCGATCCGCCCAGTTTCCAAAGATGCACTAAATAGTAGTAGAATACTTGGTTCATCACTATTCCTGCTGTCTTCCAACCTGTCGGTTTGGAATACATAATATTTTTGAAACAAACACATTTCTGTTATGTTTGTTCACTGTAATTCTATTATTCTGAAGTTTTAATTCACACGCCAGAGGCTAATGGCTCGAATTATTTTCTGCGCGACTGCTGGGACGAATCTCACGCCTCTGCATGCCTTGCCAAGACGAGCGACGACGGAAGACTACGACAAGGCCAGAGGTGCTCGGTGTAACATTGTGTTTGAACTCACTGATGGGAAGCCGCGACACGTGCCCGCCTCCTCCCTGACACGCCATAGCGCCGCCCACGCCCGCTACTCATATTTTCGAAAAATCGTACGTAATCGTCCTTATTGCAAGATGTCTTCCAACAACAATTTTTTTTAAAAAATCTTTCGTAATATTCTAGATGTTGGAAGACACAGAAAAATGACGTTTTACGGCTTTTGAATGTTTAGAAAAATAGTAGGTTTACATGGATTTTTTATATGATTTTTAGAGCGATTTTGTTTAAAACAGAAATCTCTATCTTCAATATGTTTTTGGAAATTCTGATGTAGTATTGTTGACGTAAGTGCGACGAAAGGTGACGTTTGATATTAAGTTGACGAAGACGACTTCCATTATTTCTTCATTCAATATTTTTGTTTTGGAATGTTAACTTTGCAGTTTTCCAGAAAACAGTGCGTTTGGCGGAAATGCGAACTAGAACCACTTTTTTTATCGTCGTTAATTCACCCGAGGAGAAAATTAATTGAAATAATTTGGGGTCACGTTTGAGGAAATAATTGTTTAAAAATTGACTTTACACCCTGTCATGGCTGCGAAATATTGATTAGATGTTTGTGAGAGCATTTGCAGAAACAGGTTCAAGAAGTCCTATCCAGCGCCTTTCTGTGTTCTTGTCAGGCGAGAAGATTCTGAAAAGAACATGCAGTCTACACGATTAGCACATTGATGTAAGAATCATTAAGGATTGAAGTAATTGTCATGGTTACCTTGATCTGGACAAAAATAAACGTTATCTTTACGGATTATATTCGGTATTCATGCTTTCGGCTGTTTTTGTCGCGTGTCGAAGCGCTGGTTCACGAAGACTGCATATCGTACGCAGCACTCACGTACAAAACCCGCATCCAATGCGCCCAATACACGTATTACGTAGCTTCTCTACACGATTGTTACGAAACTGCGGGTCCAGATTCTCAAACAATGCGATCTCGTCGCGTCGTATGTGGAAGAAATTGGATTCCGGTAAATTACTTTAATGTGCAAAGCTTCGTCACCAGCAGGCCAGGAGGTGGTGCGATCTACCAATCACTTGTGGAAGGTTTATTTAAAATAGTTTCGTATAAAATGAATTCTTATGGGGTTTTGGGGCAAATTAAAATCACGAAGGCGCCAAGTTTGAAATGTACAACCTTTTCTTCTTAAATACTTAGAGAGTTGTCAAACTGAATGAGCTCCAAGCGTGGCGCCAAATTTGAATTAATTTGTCCGCCTGTGCCAACACACTCTGTGCAGACCTTAACGCAAAATTACGTGAAACTGTTCATATTTTCGACAAACTGTAACTAACCTAAATCCGAAATCTGACTTTGATGAACAGATTTAATAAGAAAAAAACATCTTTATCTTCAATATTGTAATTGAAGGAAGACACCAAAAACGTTTAAACTTTTGTGATTTTCGAAAATGCAGGAGTTTCAGCTCAAATGAGATTATTACAAGCGACGTTTACGATCTCCGAGGACAGAGTTTAATAACAAA